ATCCCTGTTCCAACTCAATAAAAACTCAATGAGGAGTATTATCTAGGAGTGTCCTTTACATGGATCTAGCTAACCGGTCGGGCAATCAACGGAAGGAGTCTGTGTACTAAGTCTGGGCTACTCAGAAGGAGACGGAAATTCAAAGTTTAGGAAATAGCATTGATAAGCGTTATTTGCAACTTCTGCGAACTAGAGTTCTCCTATCCCTGGTGTACTTCAAATTATAGTAAATGATCTTGCAAACAACTTTGTTTACATTAAAGTTTATCACTGTTTACTCTCCCATGTGAAAGACTGGATCAATTTACACAAAGGGGTCAAAATTATAGGTCAAGGCAGGTGTTCTTATAATTGTTGGACAGGCAGACTCTTGTAATATGGTTCACCCTCTTTGTTTGTATTGCTCTCAGATGGGTTTCTTCATCTTTGGCACCTTTCTTCCGGTGCGCGTCCCATCTACTCTGCAATGTCGGCTACCGGCGAGCACCCAGTCACCTGCGCCAACTGGAATCCCGCTCTTCCCACCATGCTGGCCACCGTAAATGATGAGGGCGAGATACGCATCTGGGCTCCAGCAAGTAAGCACTCCCTGTTTATCCTACCTTGTTTTTCTTGTGCTTTTTGGTTTCCATAATCCCAGTTGTTCCCTAAATCTAAATCCCTGGCAACTCTCAGTCCAAAACTATGTCTCTAAATGTAAGCCTCAATCCCCAGCCGAAAACTATCCCCAAATCTAATGCGTCATCCCGCAATTCAAAACTGTATTTCTAAATCTAAGCACCGTTCCTAACTTCCGCTTCAATCGCGGCTGAGTATTTTGTTCTTCAACAAAGCTTTTCGTGTAGGGTTGCAGTTGATTGGCTCGGTGCAAGGGGTTGGTACAATGTCAGTCTTAAAGTCAGCCTGCATCCAGATGACCACATCCCGTGCCATGTTCAATTTTCAATGAAGCCTCACGGGCTCCGTTGCGTGACTGACGGATCCGAGTTCTCCCGAAATATAATGATGGCTTTATGCATTTTAAATGCTCTTAACCCTGTGTTAACTATTTCGATCAACATAAATCTACTTCAAGTTTCTGAACTAATAACCAATTTCATCAAACAGCGGGGCAATATTCCCGAATTTTACTTGCGTCTACCCCACAGCTTATTCATGGATCATGGCCTCATAAGTTATTTGGTCTGATTGTGAAAAAGTCAGTGACTTTGGTGGGATGCGAACCCCCGGCAGCAAATTTACTGAAAAAAGACAATTTAACATAGCAAGTCACGAGAATGGGACCCCACGTACTATAAGTGGTCTTGCGTTAAATTCCTAGCAGCTTATGGTATAATCTTGCCACAAGCCTAGATTTTCGCTGTCCAAAAAGGCCTCGTTCGAATCCCAAAAGGAGAACACACCAGCGAAAGCGCAAGAATGGAAGTCTATTAACGTACGTAGCACAGCGTATTTAAGGCAAGCAAAGCGTGTACAAGC